TCCCAAAATTAGGGGTACCCTTTACCCTTTTGGGGGTCCCCATAATAAGGATTATACTATTTTGGGGTCTATATTGGGGCCCCCTTATTTTGGGAAACTATCAAAATCAGTCCAAGTAAGGGCTGCACCACATCCACTACAGTATCTCCGTCTCCATGGTCCTTGCAAACGAAACATCAGGAGAACAACAGCCACCATTGAGCTCAAGGATGTATGGTAGTTTCCCAAAAATAGGGGGGCCCCAATATAGACCCCAAAATATCATAATCCTCATTATGGGGACCCCCAAAAGGGTAAAGGGTACCCCTAATTTTGGGAAACCCCCATATGAGTGTCAGTCAGATTGCTGAGCCCCAATCCCGAATATAGTAGCGATTCCCATATGTGTTTTGGACTTGCCTTGCAGGAAGCCACGCTGCGTGCATCATCCGAGGATGTTATCTCTGTTCCAAGAACGTGTGAGCAGAAAAACAGCCTTACACTCAGCAGCACCGTTCTGCCGCGCAGCTACATGTGCGAACAACGCTAAGTTCTCACGCCTCCAGTACGTCAGAGGCTTCCTTGTGCATGAGACAAGCAGCACATTCGTGCAAAAGGCGAATCAGCAAAAATTGACCTGGGGTCTAAACGCAAAACGTAAACACAGCTGACGGAAAGAAAATGAGATCCCGTCATCTTCTCCACCTCTGCACCGGCATTGAAATTGACCACGTAGCCTTCGCCAAGGCCCCCGGTATCATGGACATAGATAACCTCGGAATGCTCTTCGGAACCCATCAACAAAGTTTCGGATTTAGGGCAGCTCTTTTGCAAAATGCTTGCTCCAGAAGTCTTCTGCTTCTGCGCAATCTCCAATCCAACCCGATCCGAAATGATGCCGTTTATACCCCAATATACCTGTAGTAGTATTTTCCGTGTTTTTTTCCATTATCCCTATGTAAGCCCTAAATAACCCTATATACCCCTATAGATGTACTTGAAGGTTCCCTTATATTCAGACACATGCCTCTGCTGTTTGAGCCTGAGGCTGTACGACCATCTGGCTTCCAGTAGTCCCTTATGGCCAGTCCTGGCAGGTCCAGGGTTTAGGGTTTAGGGTTTAAGGTTTAGGGTTTAGGGTTTAGGGAATGTCCCAGGAACAGGATCAAGTTACAACACTAGTCTGATACTCACACAGTCTTTACCAGTGTCATCAAAAATGTCTTTGTTGGAAGGTCGCTATGCTGAGGATTGTTACATGTCCATGTTCGGCGTTCACTGTGTTTGTGTATAGACTTGCTCTTGTGAAAATGAGCGTCTTCAAAAGAGAGTATGGTAGACTAGCTGCAACCAAGCCTGCACAACTGGATGGCTGCATCGTCAGAAAAAGGTAATACCAAAACATCATGATCACAGCTTGAATCAAGATATCAGCTTGCATGGTCCTGGCGTGTTCGGAAAAGTCTGCGTAAGTACGCGCACGCGCACCTGGCCAAGCTGCAGAAGCTACCTTCAAATAGCGAGTGATGGGGCAAATGCTTCCACCACTTTCTAGCTTTTGCCTTCGACGCAGCTTCAATCTCTGAAATGTATGTAGCCAGTTCTCGCTCTTGACTATTCGTCAAGATCCTGAGGGAGCGCAGCAAAGACATGGAAAGATCTGATTTCGAGTTGAAGGCCGCTCCTGGCTACATCGATCACAGGTGTCGTTGCTGCATCGGTCTTGGGAAGAAGCTCTGGTCGATTCACACCTTGCAAGGTAGCGCAAGGCTCTGCGGCGTAAACCACACTTTCCTTGAATGAGAAACCCTGGGGCATCTTGATCCAAGTCGGAAGAAACCAAAATGGTTGCCACCCGAAAATGCCCATGTTTTGCGGTTTTTGGGCCGTTTCTGGGGGTCGGGCAGAGGGTCCCTTCAATTGGTCGGCTCGAGCACAGGCAGGGGGGCCTGTTTCGGCTGCATTTTGCGTCATTGCAAGCTTTGGCCCCAGCCCTACCTCTTGCCCACTGACTGTTCACCCTTGCCCAGGCGGTCGTCGCGCTGGCGGTTGAATTATCCTGCGTGTACAAGCAGGAACGGGATGATCAACTTGTATTCAAAGCAACAGCAGGCTTCCTGCAGAGACCGTCCTGCAAAGATCTGTAACGTTGAGAAATCCTCAAGCCCCAAAACTACAAAATTAAACCCGGAAATCCGTATCAACCCCAGACTCCCTAACAAAGCTGAACAAAGCCACGCCACCAAAAACACACAATTTCGACTGCTGGGTCCAGAGCCCTCAGGCCGCTTCGCTTCAGCTGCTTGGGCCTTGCGAATGATGTCTAGCACGACGATACTATACCACGTAAATATAACGTACAAGGCACAGATAACAGAATACAACAATATACAGAGTACATAACAGCTTACATGATCTGTGGATGTCTTGGAGAAGTTGCAATTTTGCCAGAATCAGCGGCTTCGTAGAGAATTTCTCGCCATTATGGGCACGTGTTTAGTGGTGTCTGTCTTCATGACGGTACAAGTCCTGTCGAGTTTGCGGGGATTCTCTTCTTGCGAAACACGACGTGTAGTGTAGAGTTTGTTGACTTGCCGATGATTTTTTGGATGCGGGGCTTGGAAATTAAACAACTCTAATTCTAGGGTCTGCTAAGTCTGTGAAAGTGGAGCTTCTCTGCGTGGCATCGACATGCAGGTCTTACAAGATCTCGTTCGGTGATGTTGGAGCTGCATTGGGTTCTGGACTAAAAACTCATAACAAAGTCCCTGTTAGGGAAGGCGCCCCACATTTTGCCTAATTATGCCTTTCAGACCCTTCTGGTTCGAAACTACCGCAGGGTGCACAACGCAACAAAGTCCCGAAGACCATGCTCTAGGCACACAGCCTATCAAACTGCCATGAATGGAGGATTTCCCAACAATCTGAGACGTGGGCTTACGCAAATGAATTTATAGTTCGACCTCTTCTAATGATGGGGCCATCTGCGTGCCTGAGTGAGCGCCACCAAGCCCAGCAGGCCCCGGCGCGAAGAACTGGAGCAAGGATACGAAGAAGATTTGAAGACTCTTCTCTCTGTCGTAGACAACTAGAGCAGCGAACCAGGGTTAGTTGGAATGTAGCAGCTTGCAGTTCCTCCTTCTTGGCTACAATTCTTGCCATGACACTTCTCTGTTGGGGTCGTGGTCGTGGGGGCTATCTGATGGATGTCTCATTCTGAAGATGTCCATGTATGTAACTCGGCAGGCGCGGCTCTTTCTCTCTGCATCTCTCCTGCAGATCCTTTTTCAAACGTCCGGTTCATTTGTCGTCTTGCGAATCAATCTGTATGGCTGCCATCTAATTCGACGTCCGTCACGGACTCCTGGTGGAGGCGCAACCTAAGCAGCGAGCGACACGTTGCGCTTAGGCAGAGGTGCGTTACGCTTACAAAGGGCTCCGAGAACCTGAACACGACCACCACTGCTGCCGCGTTATCCGCTGCACTGACCTTGGCTGCGTTCTCAAGGATTGCCGTGGCCGCATCCTGCGGCTCTTCAGTTGTGCGCAAAGCCTTTCGCGCGTGCGTCACGGCAAATTGGGCTTTCAAAGAGTCCCAGATGCCATCTGATCCCAAGATGAGGAAATCTGTTCGGTCATCAATTTCCAGCAAGTGCACTTCGGGTTCGTGGAGCACTCCTGCCAATTTCTTGCCCGTGGCAAAACACACATTCCCGAATGCACGGGAAATTGCAATGTGCTCACCCACGTAGCCACCACGCACGTCAACACCAAGTTGACGAAGCCGTTCTGCTTCTGCTTCACTCTTTGCCGGCGCGTGGTCCGTAGTGATGGTTTGGGCTTTGTGGCCCTCCTTGCATAGGATCGCGCAGCAATCACCCAGGTTTGCCAGCCATAACTCTCTGCCCTTCACGAGAGCCATGCAGGCTACCGTTCCCGAAGAAAAGTGGGCACTTGCGTTGCTGGCTGTCTCCAGGACTTGGTCAGCTCCGCATCCACGGCCTTAAAAGCCTCGCAGAGGGCTTTCTTGACATCGGTCTCCTGTTGGAGATGAGCTGCGAGAATGTTCGGCAGGATTTGCTTAACCATTGAGACGCCTTGCTCGCCAGCGTGGCCGTCGTACACTGTAAAAAGCCGGAAGCCGGAAACAGCTTTCTTTGCGAGAGGAAGCCCATCGGGGTGTACAGCAGGTCTCCGGTTCTGATGTAGACTAAGTTGAGGCTCGGCAAGCTCATCGCACCCTCTCTTCTCCAAGGGGAACTAAAATCAAGCCCTTGCCATTCTCCTTCACGTCAATTGCATCTTTCATGCGGCTCCGCCCATTTTTGCGGACCGCCCAGCCATAATCAGGACCACCACCACTGCCTTCTTCCGGCAAACAAGGGACTTCCTTGTCTCGGCCGAGGCAGCCGCAGCACTGGCTCCAAAGCCACCACATCACTACCCGCGCTAAGTCGAGTGCCTAGCTGGGAGCCTTCTGCGGTATGGAATCTGCATCATTACCTCATGGTTATGATCCTTTAGATGATGTTGATCGGCACTGCTTCTTCCTTCTTCTTCTTCTCACTGCTCTACCTCCCCCGAAAGGGAGGCTGGGGCAATGCCCCAAGCAGGTCAGGAGCGAACGGAGCCATCCCAGGTCCCGGCGAAATCCACGCAGTTGGTCGCGAAGACGGTAAGATACATATACAGCCCCGATAAAGTACAGCAGTTTCTATTAACCACACTCCCTTGCGACCCCTGCCTGCATCCCTCCGCTACTGAGTCTGGCTGTGAGAATACAGTAGGCACGTAGCACTGGTCTACGACGCTCTGTACTGCCCTACTGGTTGACTCTGGCGGAAGCGATCGCAGTCACTCAAGTCACAACCAAACACAAGGTGAACACGCGACGTTCCGGAACACCTTCTTTCAACTGCGGTTCTCCCGCTCCCCTTCCGGCCCCTTTGCGCTACTGGCAACGTGGCCGGATGCCAGTGGTCCCTCACGGATCACTCAGAGGAAAGCAGAATGTTTACGGCCCCGGTACCCTGCGCTACTGGCAGCGGTAGGAGGCGTAAGCGAGCCTATACTGATGCGGCCCGAAAGGACATGGGACTGTTCCGGTGGCATTGTAAACTAGTCTCCAGGTTTCGGGACGCTGACCACTTCAGGGTAAGAACGGAAACAACAGCGTAACAATATATCATACCCTAGTCTACGTACCAAGCGCCTTAGCTACATGCCCCGGTTGATCCTGTGCTAGGTGAGACGCACGCGTATTAGGTTCAGCCATTCTAGAGGATGATACGAAGCAACACTTTATCCCCAGCCCCGGAGGGGAGTATGGTTGTTTCTTGTTTCGAGGCTCTTCACGAAGTCTTGTGCCCAGTGGCTTTTTCTAGGTTTGTGGCTTCACCCACGTGCTTTTTAAACCGGCCACGACTAGGTTGTAAGTTGGGAAAGCGGAACTAGAAGGCCAGCGACCGCACAGCAGCTCTGATACTAAGGTAGAAGTTGCACCCCTACAACCTGTCCTGGATCAGATCAGAGGCGGGCGGACCCTCACGGCCCCACTCACAGACAGCTCATGCTTATGCATTCAGGCTGCGCAGGAGGGAAGTTGCCATGTTGCCAACACACGTGCAGCTGTTGACTACGGCACAGAAGTGACAAAAGCTCAAGACAGGCACACACCATGAAATTCCCTCCTAAAGGTTGGGCCTTGCAGTGCGCTCCTGGCCCTAAAGCGCAATCACTACAACTTGGCTAGGGTGGCATAGAACGACAGGCATGGACCTTGCAACGCGCACCTGGCCCAAAAGCGCTCATCAACTGTAACAGCAGCTACGAAGCTTCCGGCCCATTACAGCAGGCAGAGTGTGCAAGGAAAAAAGGTCGAAGGATCTGCTCTCGGAAGGTTGTAGGGTCTGCTCTCGTGACTGCAATGGTTCACAGGCGCCATGTGTCATGGGACAGGTTCGGCATAACCTCAACACTAGGGGGATAACCATAGTAACAAACCAGGAGCCCGGGTTTGCCTGAATCCTATCCCACTGCACTCCTCGGCTAGCATCATCCATAAAGTTTTCCTGCATTGCTCACAGCCCCTCAGGAATGCTCACGGTCAGGACTCACAGGAGGGCCAGCATCATTGTTGTCCGTGTCCACGCTCTCGTCTTCAATCAGCGTTGTCGGTGGCTCAGGTGCCCTACCATCCTGGCCAAGTCCAGTTGTCTGGCCTTGGAGTTGGAGCCAAAGTTCTTGTTGGTATTGCTGGTATGCGTCGGCCGTTGCTTCCAGTGTTTCATCCTGGACCAGGACCTCGTGCATCATGTCCTCCTCTTCTTCTTGTTGCTCCCTCCTGGCCAGGTCTTCGTATTCCTCAACTGTGGTTCGGCGCCAAACCCTGTCTGGTGTTCGAACTTGGACATGCTCCTTGTCTCGCAGCTTCTGATCCTCCTCTACCTGTTGTTGGACTTCTGCCGCGCTCGGTCCACTCCAGGCAGCTGATTGGCGGGTCGCCAGTCTGGCCATCCATTGCACAACTGTTGCCTTCTCGGGAAGGAGTGCCCGCACATCATCCTCCTCCACCTGTATTCTCCGTCTGTGTCCCGTTTGCGGTCCCCATACTTGCACGAAGGTCACCCCTCTCTTCTCCCGGTTCCGCAGCTGGCTCGTCTCGGACCTCCCGGTCCTGCTTTTGTTTGGATGCCCTGCGGCCAAGGTCCACAATCTCCTTCTGTATCAGTCTGGGTTTGCGGGCGCACGTCTTCCTCCTTCTGGGTTTCGCTTGCCCTGCCCCTGTGTTCTCGCTGCGGTTGTTCTGGTCTGGCTCT